GTTTCCCAACCACTCGAATAAAGAAGGAGCCATCGCCCTTACAACCTTGTCTATCGAGACCCAGAGATCTGGTTCAAGCCGATAAGATTTTCTTATTTGACACTTCCGTAGTAAACGCAATAAGTACGTGGCGGAGCCAAGCATGACTGCCATTCCTCTGCTCACATACTAACCTCTGACAGTCATCAACATGGCCAACCAGTGCTCGGGACATGTCTTTGCCATTGTGCAAGCTACCAACGGGAATATCCTCACCTGGCGTTGCTCAGATTGCAACTCCGGTCCGTTCGTGGCTATCTGGCGGTGCAAGATCTGTGGTCACTGTCGTTGCAATGCATGCCATAATGCCAAAGCTTAGGCACTAGGTGCATCCACGGCGTCGTGCTGGACCGGTAGGCTCTCGTTCGAATAAGTCAGTGTGTGGAATTTGCTGATAGGATGCTTAGGCCATTCTCGCGTCACCTCAAGCAGTCAACTCGCACAAGATCAGCTGCTTATCCGTCAAATAGCATATTCTCAAAGCCATCAGTTGACTATCCTTCACGGATGTCCGCTTCCTATCCGACTGGATGGCAATTGTGATACTCACCTTGCGCGAGGCTTCTCTGACCGGTCCCTCCTACTCGATACCATGAAAGAAAGCACGCACAATTACGATCTGACTCCTCAGCTCTCTACTTAATGACGTTTGCAAAGACACGACCCAATACTGCTGTTTTCATGGACTGTCCTTTCAACACTGTATTGTTACTCGGTGTCAGGTTCAGCGACAAAAGCTTAGGTCTTTGTTTTTCTAGATTTGATTCCTCTTGATGGGCGCTTCTCTGCATGGCATACAGGTGGCTGTCTCTACTTTTGGTTTTGTTATGTTTTCAGTTTGGTTTCTTGGCCAGACTGCTCTTACTTGTTTTGTTTCCCTGGGAATGTTAAATAGAGAACATACATAGACACAGGCAACTGACGCGGCAACGCACCTCATTACACCATTTCAGACTCTCGTGCTAGGAAATACGACTTTCATAACTCCTTAGTCCAACAAATCATCATCATAGATCCCTTGAGATCAGGTCTCGTGCCCATTGACTTATTTTGATGTGGTAGTTTGTACCACTCGAAATGCATCGTGTACCACCCCAGCCAAGCTTCAACAAGGACCAGGAGTCCAAGGTGTGATCGCCGTTGGTTGGATTCTAAATAATAGCATACATCCTTGTGCTATCATTGAGTCATTGCTTCTTCAGGGATCGCGTACTATGCTGTGCGCATCCTGGAATTAACCGGTGGGAGGTATGGTGTACATGACGGCCAATAATACTCTTTTTGTGTCTCTGATCGATGGTAGTGCTACCGGTTGGTTGATTAGACTGAAGAATTTCTAAGAAGTATGTTCTTGACATAGATATTAAAAATGCTCTGTGTGTGACAGTTTCCTTATTGATGTACAGATGGGCTCGAAGTGTATGTTTATACGCCGGTTCCGACATCGCAGATAACCTGATCAGATGTGAGGCTTTCTTGAGGCGGTATCAATGCTGACATTCTGTCAGTATTGTTGCTTCTTTGGTAGCTTTTGTTGTTATTGCTGTTGCTTGTGGCTGATGCTGCTGCTGCTGCGCTCTGCTACTTTTGCTCGTGAGCGAAAGGACAAAGAAGGAGACCGAGGAATATGAGCTTTGGCCCAGATCCTGGATCTCCGATGCAAATCCTTTCATCGTTTGCAACGCCCGATTCGCGCTTCGGCCAGGGTAATGAGACGAGTTCATTTCACAATCGAGCAGTCGGAAGCTTTAGCTCACGCACTGTTTCTTCGGCATAGCAGTCTAAGTCCGCTCGTCCTTTCTCGATGTTACTGCTGAGATGGTAGCTTTCCACATTTCAAGGTTCTCTTCGAGCGATGTCTGAGCGATGAATGGGTGTGAGTCCGTACATGTCCGTCAGTACATAGCCGGCCATGTTTTTTGAGGTGGGATCAGAGCGTGTTGCGTGGTTTACTCGCCTCCATGAGCTGTTCTTTTGAATCTGACAGGTTCTGCTTTGTATGCTGATTACATGGATGTTTGAAACAAACTCCGCTGTGGCACAGGACGTTTAATCAGGCGTTCTCTCACATCCTCGCAGCTGTACGCTGCTCGACCATCCGCTTCTCTGAAGTCTGCTGGTACATCAAGTATGGCGTGGAGAGGTCGGCAAATACAAACGGATTCGGAAATATGCCGTCCCATCCATTCACGGCCTCTTCCCTTCTGGGGCTCAAATCCTCTAAGCCATGCGTCCTTCTCCATCAGAGTTGGGCTTGCATGGAACTCGGCGGAGTTTCATTTCGATAAGAAAGTCAACTGTACGCACTCCAGCAGTCGCTGGGCCGGTGTGAGGTCGGGCTGCAGCTTCGGCTCCAGCCATGCCTGGATGTCCTCCGGCACGAGGACACCTCTCTCGGCCATCTAGCAATATTAGCCACTGATATTTCCTGCTAAAGAAAAAAAAATCGCTCTTTCTCGTCCTCCTCGACAACACGGGACTCTTCGAGGGCCTTAAGGCGTTCGGCTTCCTCGCGTGCCCGACGTTCCTCCTCAGCGTTGTCGAGGAGGACGAGAAAAATTCGGAAGACGAATACTGGGAGAGTCTTGTGCTGAACATAATACTGCCGCCGCTCAAGGGATGATGCCTTAACGGCATCAGCCACCATGTTGGCAGTGGCGGTCCCCTCGGCTTATTCCACTGTGTCGGGTAAACGGGCCGGGTCTTGTCAGGCATTTGGACTTGCATATCACCGAAGAAAAAGGTGTCAAATTCACCATCATCCTCCATGCGTTTCTGTTGTTTTTCCCATTTGCGGGCTTCGGCAAGGCTCTTTTTATTTTGCGACAGTTCCACAAGGGATATTTCCCATTTGCGGTGCTCGCGCCGGAATTCCCTCATCAAAACATTGTATTCCGTGTGAGCTTTCTGAATTCTGTCGATCTGGTCTTGAAATGCAGCCTTAGCCTATCGTAATCTCTCGACCTTATCGTTAAATGGAGGGAGCAAGTGGCATTTTATCAGCTGCCATAGTTTTTCCAGTGGAATCGCAGATCTCGAAGAAAGGTGCAATGATTTTAAACTTGAGGTACGCAGGTGTATTTGCAAGCTTAGAAAGGCTGGGGGCAGCCGTTGTTGTCGCTGTTGCTGGTGCTTCTAGTGTCTCATACTGTTAGCAGGTCATCGACCTAAATCGTATATGCGGAGAAACCCGAAGATCCATGGTATCAACGGGAGAGTGGACAAGCTCACCTATTTTGACCATACAGGTGCGTCAAGAAGGAATAAGTCATTGCGAGAGTCCCGCAGATGAACCTGCAAATTGACTCTAATCGAGTGAGGGCCCTCTGACTCCATAGATATGAAGAAAGGAAGATGGAGAGCGGAGAATCGTGGGGGAGACGATGGTATTCGTCTCTATCTGTCTCAGTTCGATCTGCCGTTGAATGAGTCGTTCAAGGTCCTTACAGTGAACGAAGATTGTTGAAATTCACTATCCTTAAGCGCTACATATTATTGACCACAGTGAGCATTGCTGAGGACAGTGAATGTCATACTCAGTTAGTGAATACAGTTCAATAGTTCTGGGACATAGGGGAGACACAAAGTGAGACATACTGACGAGCAAGCCATGTGTCAGTCGTCTAGACTGAATAACTAAGGAAGTAGCTGGTTACTCTAAGCTGTTTCCAATCCTACCTATCTCAATCAGAAACTCGGGACCAACTGCTGCATCATTTACGGATGATACTAGGGCAGAATTGGATGATGCAACAATATGAACCGAGACTCGAGCGCAAGGGAACAATTGGATGTATTTAATGATACCGCTTTGTACTATACAGCGGAAATAACCCAGCATTGTTAGATGAGAATAAGTGCTCTGAGACTGGCTGATGTGATAGTATCCATCCAGCAGCGTCAATAGCCGGATTCGCCAAGTATTCGGGGGTTGAGGCCTGCTTCTCTGCTATGCTTGGAAGACCCGTCGGATAGATATTTACGACCTTAACCAAGCCAAAAACAAGAATCACCCTGCAATATGCTTCTTTACAAAGATAGCAATTCTCCACCAGTCTTGTCTCGTAGGCGGCCAATCATTTTGACGTGGAGACACCAACCTCAATATAAGATATCAATCAATCAGTCTTACATGAGTCGAAGCAAAGGCTAGCAGTACTGATCAGTCCACCACAAGAGACGAAGGCCTTTGAAAACAGCAACAGTAACAGCAATCAGCTTGTGATATTAGCCTTCAAATATGTGAGCAGTTGGCACTTTGGTGCGTTTGTGTGTACGCTCCCTGGACCTTTCCGGACAGACATTGTGCAAGGTCTCTCCGTAAGTCGACAGAACTCCCACCATCGGAGGATTCCATGAGCGTATGGCTCATAACTTCTTTGACCTGCGGCCAAGTGGAACTGACTGCTCACGTTATTACATGACTGGGTGACGACAAGTCTGTAGATCTTGCAGGTGCGAATTCAGTCCGAAGTGCGGACTACCCTATCCTGGTTGATGGACATACGGTGCATTGGTATTGAGCGTGCTTGGATCTGTACATGGCGGCGGTTTTGGGGCTTCATGAGCGCACAGAGAGCCATTGGCGGGTACTGCTGACATGGGAGAACCTGAAATTAGTCCTATCCTGATGACGCGACACTGGTTATCATAGCCTCTCTGTTGGTAGACAACTATGGGATATAAAGGAGGCTGTGGGCAGAGAATGAAGTTTGGGCCCAAGGTACTTGAATGGTGATTGATGGCGGGGCGTAAGCACTAAAACTACTGCGCAGTGTGTTTATCATTAGTCTCTAGTTTAGAGTTTTGGCTAGGCTACAGCGGCCTTAGGAATTGAGCCAGAGGCTGAACATGGGTCAATTGAGTCATTTCTCTGTTTACCTGGACTCTTGAAACTCTAGTATTTACGAGCAACTAGCTAATAGGCTAAACCTTCTCACGTAGACCATCCATCTTGATAACCGTGCAATTTCGTGGCTTATAAACTTGCTACTGTTAGACCCTAATTCCAGTCTTGCCCAGATCGGAGTCCAAAAAGGGCATCGCAGCCTAGAGCTCTCTTCCCGACTTACATACGTTCTTCTCACATTTTTTTGTACTTATACTTCTTTTTCGCTTCGAAATCGTCCTCGAAATATCAACGAATATTCGATCGCGTAGCTGTGGTCACCCCGTAACATTGTCATCTTCTCATTAACAACACCCACAATGGCCGCCAAATCATCCCCTCTCATTACTGTCTACCGCGGCTTCCCAGAAACCGGTTGCTACATCTGGTCCCCCTTCGTCACAAAGCTGGAGGCCCGTCTCCGTTTCGCCAACATCCGCTACCGCACCGAACAAGGCGCCATCCCCAAATCTCCGCGTGGCAAGGTCCCTTACGTCTCCATCCAGCATGGCCAGCAGCCGCCGCAGACGCTCTCAGATTCCACCCTGATCACCAAAGCGCTGATTGAGGAGGGGTACATAGAGGATCTGAACCAGCACCTGTCTCCGACTGAGCGACTGCATGACCTGGCGCTCAAGGCATTGCTAGAGGATAAGTTGCCTTCTTATCAGGTACGAATCGCATCATTACGCAGGACAGTGAAGAGATTAATCTGAAGATGGAAAGACCTACGAGCGATGGATCCTGAACTTCTACACCATGCGCTCCAAGATCCTCGCTGCCCTCCCCTGGCCCGTCCAGGTCGTCGTTGGCAACATCATCTACCGCAAAGTGACACGCAATCTCCAAGGCCAGGGTACCATGGCCTTCACCGAGGATGAAATCAGTGCGTTCCGGAAGGAGATCTGGGCGAGTCTGAGTGCGGTGGTGGCGGAGGCGCAGGCGAAGCAGTCCGATCGGGACGGGCCGTTCTGGGTCTGGGGTGGAGAGACGCCGACGGAGGTGGATGCGGTGCTGTTTGGGTTCGTTGTGTCCGGGTTGGTGTGTGATGCGTGAGTACTCCGCTTCTGCTTTGGTTTGCCTGTTGTGTACTGATATCTTGGGTAGCGCACCGGCCTCAAAGGAGATTATCAAGGGGTATCCGGCTCTGGTTGATTATGCGAGACGGATCCATGATAAGTACTTTCCTGACTACGAGCTGTGGGAGTAGTGATCGATGTATTCCTTTTTAATACAAGGTGTCGATCTCTTGCAGTATCACTAGTGGAATATATGACAATGAGTGGCTCAAATCTGGCTGATAAATATACTGACATTCTCATGGTATGGACCTTTGCTCGTGGCGACGGACATATTCCTCATTAAAAACCTGCTATATTTACATGATACTTGCTTTTGTGCCGATAGTGTTGTACCTACACTGCTGATATGGATGAATGTACCATTTTGCAGCTCATAATCTTCCTCGCTTGAATAGTCATCAAATGGTATCTAAAATCATGATTGCAACGAAGTACTTCGCTATTTTGGGACAAAGATAGAAGACGATTATGTATAGATGCTCTGCACCAAGATCAGCAAAAAATGTATCTTCTTAACCGTGCCATCAATGCACTTACCTCAGTGTATTGGTTAACAGCCAGACCAGGTTCTGCCATCTCGGCATCTTTCAGGAAATCGAGTGGCATCCAGACAAGGTGGCCTTTAATCTTGTCCAGCTTCTCTCGAACATCCTTGACAGGCTGGTACGGGTCGAACAGGTGACCCTCTCTGATTCCGCCTCGCGGTCTGAAATTATCATAGTCCCCAAAAGTGCGGATGTTGTCATCTGGATCCGTGCGGAAGAGCATCCGATATACTTCCGTGTTCGTTGTAGCTTGCTCTGTCCATGTCTTCCACAGGTCATCGTTCAAGGGATCCGTAACGAAGTCGTTCTCCGGGCCCTCAAGTATCTCATTTAGGCACACGTTAGGTGGCTGCGCATTGGGGTGCTTGGAGGCGTCGTAGTCTTGTGCTGGAAGAAGGCCTAGATGCTCCCGCCACAGCTGCCGCCGCAAAGTAGCGGCAAGGCGCGAGGCTCTATATGGCTTGCCATCCATCGTACTATCGATGAAGTCCTGATCTTCGACAACAATGGCCAGCTCGCTATCATGATAACCGAGTTGTGACTTCGAGTGTCAGTCCTGGAGTCAAGCATTTGTACAAGGGTGTACTCACCCGATCGTTGATGTTCGCACTGCCGCAGATGGCAATCCTGTCGTCTACGATGCACACTTTACCATGCACATAGAGCTCTTCCTGGACAAAGTTTGCCTTTTCACTCTCGGGATCTCCTTCCCAGGGCTCCTCAGATATCTTGCCGCCATTGAGCATCGTAGTATGCGCGACAGAGTCCTTGCTTCGGTATTGCTCGCTTCTGCGCCCTTCCTGCTTCTCCTCGTATCTGCGCAACCTTGCAAGCCTTTCTTCCTTCTCTCGCTCTGCGTCGTCGTAATTGACTTCGCGTTTGTCGCCTTCTTCGCCAACCAGCGGGTGAACGCTGTCGCTCATGATAGACTCGGCTATGCCACGCTGGATGTCATGATACGTTACCCCTGCTTCATTCTCCAGTTCTTCTAGAGCGGGAGTCTTGTTGATACGATCATAAGCGCGCAGATTAAAAAGGAACACATGCTCTGATTGAGTTAGTCATTTGCCCTTCTGTGAAGGTTGAGAACTCACCTCTTGGATCAACTCCTTGAGCAGAGATCTGACCAAAAATCGAGTGTTCTCCGCGCAGAATAGATTTGTATTGGTAATCCATGATCGCACGTGTGCCGGTTGCTGCACTTTGTCTCAGGTCTCCAGCAAATCCGGGAATAGCGGGAATCACAATGATTACTCGGAACTTCCGACCCTCTTTGCCAGCTCGAACGCAGGCGTCGACAATTGCACGACCAACTGTATTGATAATGGGCTTTTGCTGGTCTCCAGTGGCAGTAACTTGAACACGTCAGCATCTGAAGCATTGTAGCGAAGGTGGACTTACTGAAAAACTGGTTTTCGATATATACCAAATGTTGAGCGTTGCGAATAATCTCGCAATAAGCATTTTGAATACTCTGTTCAGTCAGGATTCCGCTGCTCCAATCACCACTGCTGCGAATAATCTGTCCCCGCACAGTGCCTTGCATTCCTCGCGGCTTGGTGCCTAGCGGATTGAGAGGATGTTGAATATAGTGTCCGCAAGGATACTTTGGGCGTTGTACCCCGACAAGAGCTTCGTCATCACCGGTGCGGCCCTCCAGCAGAAGCCAGTCGACGCCATGATCACGCTTGTACTTATCTCGCTTGACAAAGTTCCATCGAAGAACAAAATGCTCGGCAATATCATAGACGCAATCACCAACCAAGCCCATTGCGACATCATGCCATGGCATTCGACCATAGTCTGCTTTGCTTACTTCGTTCGACTGCCAATCTGCAACGCTCTGGAAGTCCATAATACGGTTGTTGTTCCAATCTTGACCTGGGAATATTTCGTCCTTCAAGTTCGCTGGGTGAACGTCCGCCAGGGGGTGTTGGTGAGCATCCCATCTACCAAAACATAAATCGATACCACCAATGAAGGCGACGGCGTAGTCAATGACAATAAATTTTTCATGATGTGCCTAGTATGTCAGCATAATACTGACTATAACTACAATCCACGACGGACTTACCCAATACAATGTCATATCTGCCGCATTCTCAAAAATATTGTGATCCGGGTGCCGTAGAACTTTGATGTTTCCGTGGCCAGGAGTTCCTTCCGGGCAGAGACTACGGAGCGCGTGTTTCGTATGCGCCGAGTTGCATGTCAGTGCTTGATTGACCTGAATCCTGTTAGCTGTATTGTACCGACTGAACACAGTCAATATGGCTGACAAACCTCCTTGTAAACAATCACATAGATCTTAACGCCCGCTTCAGCGCGGCGCTTGAGCACTTGATCGAGTCTCCATTCTTGCGTCAAATATGGAGGTCTACGAAGAAACAGCTCCGGGGAGAGCCACCAATCCTCGATATAGATCACCTCCTTGGCCTCCTCCAAGGCGACTGAGACAGCCCAGAGGTAGTCCAGCGCGTCGACATACCACTTGACCCTGTTGCCTTCTCTAACCGGAGCAAAGGACTTGAATCTATGTGACTCAGCAATCGCAGTTCTCTTATTGTCTGTTTCCCGCTCATGCTCCTCATCATGGCGGTGGTTGGGGTTGACGACGTTGAAGAATTTTCCAACTTTGTGTTTGATGTGGTGAGCTTTTGCCTTGGCTTCATGTAAATGAGAGTCTGATAGCCATTATCAGTCGGAATGAATATCTAACTGAAAGACATACGATACAGACCTTTCAAAGCACTTTCCAGATGGTCAATCTCGTGCTCGAATTTCTCCTTCAATTTCCCCATCTCCAAGATGTGACCCACAGAGGGTGCTTACTTGCAATCAAACCAAACGAAACGATCCAAACTGGCATCCAACTGTGAAAGAACCCTCCGAAGAAGTTCTCTCAATGCTCACGATTCTCGAGTTCGATCACGAATTATTCCTTTAAATATCTGGCTCGAAGACTCTTTTTTTATGTTTCAAAAAGAGGGGGATCGACGATTACTTGACAGTAGTTCGATACGCGTCGGTCCACGCTGTGACATCATTCCGTGCTAGCTTTACCAGCCTTACAGCCTTGTGGCCTGACTCTGAGGGAACCAAAAATTCCCGGCCCAAGCCCGTTCAGGAGAACACTTTCTCTCTCTCTCCAGTTGATCGTTGTTGCTCCTGCATCATTGCGTCCAGTTCATCAATGAGGATCATCGCAACATCACGAGGCTTTGTTGCTGTCTGTACCATTGTTTCTGTGCCTTTGGAAAAATCGAGGTAAGCCCCACCATCAGCCATGGTCGGCATCTAGCCTCCAATCGTCCACTAATATCGTCATTTGATCTAGATAATATTGAGTACCAGACTAGTCTACTACAGGAATCCTCGATTTTGTTTGACTAGTTCTCAACTACTTTCGTGGGACCTCTTGGCGCAGGTTTAGGCTGACACATTCTTACCTGTGTGGTCCACTGAATCTACCATAATGAGGGCAGCTCGAAATATCTACAAAGATGACGTCGATTTCACCACTCTTGCGTTGCAGTCGCCGGCTTTCGCGAAATAGTCAGTATTGCCCCTGTGATTGATACGCATTTCTGACCCTGCTGTCAGTGTGAAGCCAAACAGCCAGTTAGATTTCAGTGATCCCGATGCCGTACGGTAAGGATGGTCATAGACATTGCCGGTGTTCGCAGGTGACTGACCGACTTTTCAGCCAATTGACTAAGAGCCTCTTAAAGAGAGATTTTGATTTGGACGTTGAGATACCTGAGAACAGACTCTGTCCACCGGTATGTTAACTTGGCTCACAAAAAGTCTTACATGCTAACTTGATACTCTAGGTACCCAACAGGTGAATAAAACAGATTGCAAATGCAGAAATTGCTTATGTTCTGACGGTCAAGCAGGCTAAACTATATTCTATGGCTGCAAGACCTTCTCGATACCACAGGCGACCAGTACCGCGATGACTACGACCCGGACCGATCCGTCTTAGGCCTCGATATGTGAGTATCACCTGTTCTGGAGATGTTGCTCTTTCTGACTTTGATAGTGGAACAGGGTGCTGCAGTATATACCCGTTGCTCGGGTGCACGACACGACCTCTGTGGGATTTCGTTGCTACAGGTAATCATTGTCGGCTTCAATGCCTATCGGCTGGATGAAAGCTCACAAGAATCTAGATATAGATGACGAAAATGTTCGAACCGCCCGAGAAAATGTGACAAACAACGGGCTTGATAGTCGAATTCGGGTATTCAAAACCGAGCGCAAGGATGATCTCATTCCTCTAGACACAAAGCTCGACGTCCAAAAGTATGTATCCACTGAGATTGCATAAAACGGCATATATCTGAGATCTCAGGCTCGACTTTACCATGTGCAATCCTCCATTCTACGCCTCACGCGAAGAAATGATAGCTTCAGCAGAGGCCAAGGAACGGCCTCCATTTTCAGTAAGTCCAACTCAATGAGGCTTACAAATCTCCTGTTGAAAACCAGACATAGGCATGCACAGGAGACGAGGTCGAGATGGTCACCGAGGGCGGTGAAATTGCTTTTGTCCATCGCATGATTGAGGAAAGCCTTCATCTTCGCGAGAGGGTTGTCTGGTACACCTCAATGCTTGGGAAGCTCAGCAGTGTATCCGTCATAGTCGAGAAGCTCATGGAGCACGGGAACAACAACTACGCGGTAACCGAATTTGTTCAAGGAAGCAAGACGAAGAGGTGGGCTGTGGCGTGGTCGTGGACTGATCTTCGTCCGAGTATGGTATGCTTCAATACATCTGGGTCTAGTGTTTGAGTGCTCCCGTGCTGATTTGCAACAGAAAGTAGCCCGAGGCATCCCTGGCTTCCCGAAACACCTCCTACCATTCCCCTCCGAGTTCATGTTCGAAATCATGAATCAATCGATCGATGACCTCAGCGACAAGATTGACAAAGAGCTCAGCAGCCTTCGCATTCATTGGACTTGGCGTAAGAATCTGGCTACGGGCGTCGGATTCGCAATGGAGAATGTTTGGTCTCGTCAAGCTCGCAGAAAGTTGCAGAATTCAGCTGGTGCTGCGGATATGATGGAAATTGACGAGAGTGCAGCGGCTCTTGGTTTCAAGATTCAGCTGAAGCAGGATAGACTTGATGAAAAGTGCGTCCGCGTTGTCGTTCGTTGGCTCAAGGGATTAGATTCGGTCTTGTTCGAGAGCTTCTGCGGGATGTTAAAGAGAAAGGTGGAGGGAAGGTGATGCGGAAATGGGGCATGAAACGTTGAATGAGAACTCGCCACGAGGACATGATTGACCGAAGACAGATCTATTCATACTTAAACGCTAATCAAATTTCTATCCGACATGAATTGCATAAGACATCTCTCAGGTCTGACATCTAAGAACTTCCCACTTCGGAGTGCAGCTCTTTCAGACGATTCCAGCCCTCGGAACCCTCCCAAAAGTCCTTTCCTTTACCCAAAATACCCCTGACAGCGCTGCGGGCCTTGAATCGCCAGTCCTTAGCAACCATCTCAGCCTCCCCCTCATGTTTGCCTTCTTTGTCCATAGGCCCAAACTTGGCATATCCATCACGGACCAACCTCTCAGTTGCACGGACAACATCCATCCACTTCTTCGCATCGCCCATTTGGAACGCGCCCTGTGTGCACGAGGCAACGGTAGCTCGCCAGGCCTTCTCATGCGCCTCAAAGGCCTTGGAGGGCTGGCCACGGAAGTGTTCTACACGGGCAACGAGAAGCCAGAGCGGAGCCGAGTGGGTGATGAGAGGCACAACGCATTCGTCGACGAGGGAGAGGACCTGGCCGGCGATGGTGCCACTGCGGACGACGGGCTCCGAATTCTCGTCGTTCTCGTCGACCTTGATCAGGAGGTCCTCGTAGTTGTAGGTGTCGACGACGTGCTCAATCAGCATGCTGAGAACGGGTATATCAACGCACTTTTCTCCGTTCTTTGGGCCGAGAACTTCAATCACCCGTCTCTGGGCTGTGACCACATCGCGGAATGGTGTAGCTGGTGGAGGGATCGAGGCTGCGACGGTCAGGACATTGTCCCAAATGCGAGCATCGGTGTGCTTGAGCTGAGCGGCGCGGTGCAGAGCAGCAAGGGCCTCGCGCTTGCGCTTATAGGGATCCTGTGGTGCTTTTTTGGTTTCCGAGTCGGCATCGGCGTCTGCGTCCTGTTGCTCCTCTTCTGCCGTTTCGGTGGTTTCGCTGGGTTTGGCGGTTCGCAGGATGGCAGCAGCAAGGTTACTCCATGCTTCGGCGTCCGTGACTTCGAGCTGCACGGTCCGTGTAAATGAATCGATGGCGTCCTCCCATTTTTGCAGTTCAAGCTGTACACAACCAAGCGCAAACCATGCGCTGTGGTTGAGACGGTTGATGTGGAGACTCTTGCGGTATGCCTCCTCTGCCTTTTCGAGAGCAGGAGGCTTCAACGAGAGATAGTGGCGGGCCAAGGAACGCTGCGCGCGTGCGTATCTGTTGTTTGAGACCTCCCATGCGCGTTCGTACATGGTGGGATCACTATCGATGTCACCCAGGATGCAGAGCAAGCGAGGGGCGTCAACAGGCAGAGGAGACAGTTCCGGCCCGTCGAACTTCTCGTTCTCGTCATCTGGGTCTGGACCCGTGGGCTCATATAGCTGTCTGCGGACGATATGCTTAGCCTTTTCTTCTCTGTCTGTGGCGGCGTAGCAGAGAGCGGCCTCCGCCCACATCTGCAGGCGTTCGTAAATGTCCAGTGCAGTCCGCAGACCGCCAAGGTTGACCCAGCGTTGAGCCAACTCAGCTTCGAGACTCCACCGAGTAGGAGAGTTTAAGAGCCAGATGTACTCTAGTCTTTCAGCGGCCGAAGCAGACTCGGATTTCTCGGGTCTTGGGAGGAATGTGGTAGCCTGGTCACCATTTTCGGTAGCTTGAGTATCAAGAGTTGCTGTGTCTGCAATGACTTGGTCAACAAGCGCTTGCATCTGCAGAACAGATCTTTCTACGGTACGAGCTCGGTATCCTTCGACACGGCTTCGGACTAACAAAGCTTGAGTGTATACCTGCCAGTTGGAACTACCCCCTTCAAGGACACGGATAGCGTAGGGGTGGGTCTCTTCCCGAGTCAGACCGTTCTCCGGTGACGTGTTCGTGATTGCGGAAGCCAAACCCAGCAAAATGGCAGAGTCAACAGGGTCCAGCATTGGTTGGTTGCCGGGGTCAAGAGAGTGCAAAGCTGGGGGAAGCGTGGATTCTTCCTGGACAGTCGTCGACTTGTCTTTTGATGTCCGAGCGTCCTTGGTGAAGGATATGCTTTCGAGAAGTGTATCATCGTTGAGGTCTAGGTTCTTAGGTCCTGCTTGGGGGTATCCTCCTTGTCTTCCGGAAGAGCCGAGTTTCCGGTGGTCGTCAGTTCTTCGGCACTCTTTGCCAAGACGACCAGCTGGCTGATATCATGTTCTTGGAACTTCGTCCTTTTTCCCAGTCTTCCAGTCAATGCAAACTCAAATTTTCTGACTGCAGCAGCCTGCTCAAGATCTGACCGAGCCTTGGCGTCAAAGCCATGGTGGGTGTGGATAGTCGCCCTCTCCACAAGGAAGCGTCCTTTCTCTTGAGCAGTAGAGAATACAGACTTTTCACTAAGCAGCATCTTGCTCAACTCGTCCAAGTCACTATAGATGGCATCCTGTAATGTGCTAGTAGCTTCAGACAGCATCTTCTGGTGAAGGAAATTGACGCGCACTCTCGTCGTCCTCGCCACCAACGGTCCGTCAGGCACGAGGATGTCAGCATCAACAAGAAGAGCCTTCGCAACAGCAAAGAGCTCAACATTCGGCGTCAGCTTGTAGGCGGCTTCTCCGTCTACAGATAGTTCACGGATGATGTGATTGCGGACAGCCCGGAGCTTGGTGGCATCTGAGTGGAGAGCCTTAGGGAATACCACATCCGCCGAGTTAAAATCCAACGGCGGGCCGGTAATGTTGGATTGCATAAAGCTAAACAGAGCCGCCAGACCAATATGGAGGATCTGTGACCGTTGCTGTTCAGAAGTAAGCCCATCAAATGGCATCTGAGCCGTAGCTTTCGCCTTCTCGGTCAGGAAGGTGGTATAGCATATCTCGCCGTTGGAGACGCGGCTGATAGCACTCGCATCTGCAGAGTTGTGTCCCAGCAGTTCTCCAGCCAGTGGAAGCTGGAGGATGGGGACAATCTCTGCATCCGCTAGTTTGACCGGGTCATACTGCTCCCTCAACGGCGACGTCCCATCAAATAGAACGTCCAAGGACGACGGGTAAGAAGCGTTCGATGCTTCAGTCATCTTCAACAACTTCTTTAGAATCTAACACTTGAAAGAGCGACTTTCAAATGCCTTCAAAATGTCGAACTGATGGGTTATGCCTGACTGTACTTTGAATAGACCTCGGTTAGGCCGTCGACTTTAACGAACACGTGACGAATGGTATGACCTCGAAATCTTCACAAGAACATACTGAATGTTCTAAGCACTCGGATCAGGCCACTTAAAAACAAACTAGAAAAGAGCGACTATTGAAGGGCTTGGTGATGACGATGAAAAGCGCAGGTACCCCGCCTAACAGTTTTTTTTCCTCTCTCGCCCATTTTCGTTATCGATAAGGCGGATTTGGAGACCGTGGTGGGGCCACCAAAGGCCGTGGCAGTAATAAAATATGCTGGGATATTGAATGAGATTGCTGCAAATACGAGTTATGACCACGCTTAATGCACGCACCAATCACAGTGGTGGGGAATCGCAGTACATCCACAAGTCGTCAGAGTGGCTGATTGATAATAAGGTACAGATTATCTACTTTTCCGTACACCAGTCCCTCAGTGCTTCATTGCACGAGCATGTTCCCTCAGGATCTCATTCAGTCCTCCTCGCTGCACACACTCGTCAAAGTGGAAGCTATGTGCCAATGCCTCCAACTCCTTCTCATCCATTCCTCTGAAGAGCTCCGCGAACTCGTCTACAAAAGATGCTGCCAAGAATGTCTGGAAGACATTTCGCAGTAGATGACGCTCCGTATGCCATGGGGTCGGGTACGTTTCCTTTGCCCGTGGACTGACCTTGTCGATCCAGTCAACCAGTGGCTTGAGTGCTGCTTCAGGCTCTGCGGATGGCTCTCTGCCCCATGCATCAAGCCAGAACTTCTTTTTTTTCTCAAGCAAGGGCTGAATCGTCTTGTTCCATTTGCTGTCTGGACTTGTGTGGATCATTCCCTGCAGGCCAATGTCCTTGTACAGCCAGATAGACCAGTGGATGTTGTACTTGTCGTAGATACGAAGCTGCTCGCCCAGAAGGCTGTAACGCTCTTGATTTATGGTTTCTGCCTCTGCTTCCGTGCGGGGATTAGCGTAGACTGGACCGAACTCGCCGTTCCAGATTACCGTCCCGTTTTTGTTCATGAATTCGGCTTTGCGAAGGTACTGCCGTTCAAGGTATTCCTTTTGTTCAGTAGTTCCCTTGTAGCGCTCTCCGGTAGGGAAACCCATTGACTAATGAAAGCAATCAGCACGGAGGACTCTTTGGTCGGATGAGGAATCGCCTACAGAATAGTCATGCATAGCATAAACGCAGTTCGGAAGAACCGTATCGAAGCCTTTCCACTCCATGGCGAACGTATTTCCATCCAGCCACAGGATATGATCTGAGTCAATAGCTCGGATGGCTCTCTCGACACGCTCATAGAAAGCCGGAAGCCTGACGTGCTCCGGATCGCACGGTTCATTCAGGGGGTTGTATCCAGCAACCCATGGATTGTCCTTGTACCGTGCTGCAATCTGTTCCCACAGCCATACTGTCCGGTCTTGATGGTCCTTGAAATCCCAGAAAGCAGCGTAACTGGTCGGGTTATCAGAATGCCAGTCCCCGTTCTGTCCACCAGGAGCCGTGTGCATATCCAGAATGATGTATATCTTCTCTTTTGCGCACTATCATGGGGAATAACAAATTAGCATCATGCCGTCGTTATGCTGTAGGACTCTTACCAAATCAATCACCCGGTCCAAGTGCTTGAACCCAGACTCCTTCAGTACCCGTGGATTCATATCATCCTCAAAATGGCGATAATTGAACGGAATCCGGATGCAATTCAATCCCAGTCCAGCAAAGAACTTGGCGTCCGCTTCCGTGAAGAAATAATCGAGCCATTTGTCGAAAAAGAATTCGTACTTCTCTGGCCCTAAGACTCTCCGCATAGCAGCACGATGTTGCGACTCATGGCCTGGGTAACCAGTGATGAAATTCTCCATACTATTTTCAAGATATTAATTAGCATTTACTTCAAAGGTTGAAATAGAGGCATTGTGTTGCCGCGTACTTCATCCAACCGCCAATAGCGGCACCCCGGAGAACTACTTCGTCTCCATTGCTGTCAACGAGTTTGTTTCCTTTGACTTTCAGAATTCCAGTAGCCATTTTGTCTTCAAACGATCTAGAAAATTGTTATGTGCTTGCATTCGCGTTGCATTTACGACTTGATCGATTTTGCTTGGCATAGCTGGGGCTATACAAAGGGTTTTCAGTGCCTTTATAGTCCTCGACCCGTATGCTCGACTCTGAATAAAGGCAAAATCCATATCTAAATCTCCACGTCTAGCCACTGGAGAGAGCACAGCTGGTGACAGGCGGGGTTAGCTCCTGTTTCGCTTGCATTTCCTGCGGGGGACTTCCTACAATTTTGTCGGTTAAAAGACCCGATTTAGCCTGATTTCAGCACGATGAGACTGAGGTGTGAAGCAGCCAAGCCCTGAAGGAGCGAATAACCCGACGTAGCTTCATTCCCGGAGTGATTGTCGTCGGGGGGAACACCGACCAAGCAAATAAATCCGGGTGTTGCCCGACATTGACGTCCATGCTCGTGGCTCTACTGCTAAGAAAGACAATAATCACACAGACCCAATTGTTAATTTGTCAGAAGAAGTATAAGTACAGTGGTATGACGTATCAGACAGTTATAGCTGTCATGGGTATTTGTAAATACAGACGTCGGATGCATGGGACGCCTATTGAGGCACAAAAACAACTCCACGGATGCAAGAAAACCCTTCAACCTGGTTATGGACAATGATCCCTGACACCGAAATGTGAGAACTCCGAGAGAGACAGCGGGCTAATGGGTAAAGAAAGACATGAAAAACTCGTTTGTACTGCCACATGGCTACCAATCCTGACCTCGATCCCTCATGAGAATCTCGATAGCCTCATCCTCAGGAACAGGATTGTCATTCAAATCCTTCACGCATTGCGTTAACCCTTCGGCGGCTTCATCGACCTGTTCGGCCGTCCAGCCGGTACAGGCCATAACCATTCGACGGTAGTTCTGACCCAACACCACGTTCTTCGATTTCAAACGATCCACCTCGGCAAGTATCTCTTGATTGAAATCTTGATAGCATTTGATGCGTTGCTGCAGAATCTCAGGAGAAGTCAGAGACTTGAGAAAGGCTACCTGCTTTTCGGAAAACCCTGATGTAGGATCGAACGTTTCCGGGAAAAGGGCTTCAAATTCCGTCATGTCGACCCCAGAATCTTGATCCGCATCTCCAACTATCGTCATTTTGGAAGGCTCGAAGTACCCTCCATGTATCTCTTTGAGCATCACGAGAAGATCTTCCGATGACCTTTCCAAATTTTTGATCCGTCTGCTTAGTTCGACCCGATCAGAAGACTTGCTCTTGAGGTCGTCCAGTTTCTTCTGTTCTATTTGACGGGCCTTGGCAGTCTCGCGTATTTTGGAATGCCAATGTTCAAACTTCTCTTGCTTCTTGGACAAGTCGGTGGCCAGTTCTTTGTCGATACCGCCTAATGTCTCCTGTACTATTGCGCTAATCTGGGCCATTGTTGCTTCAAGTTGTCAGTAGATCTTGATCTTTGTAATTTGAGGGAGGGGTTCCGCACCATCAAAGATTTCTTTCTTTGTTTTGGCCAGATGATCAATGAAAGAGTCATTCTTGCTTCCGACTTGTTGGGATTGGGCGTTGCCGTCAACCATATCCACGCCGACGCCATAGTCGGCAGGACGGAGACCAGTGTGGTTGGGTATATGAGGGTCCGCACCAACTTCTAGTAATTGAGGCACTAAGACAGAGCGGGCTCGCCCGGCAAGATTAAGTGCTGTGTCCCCTTGATCATCCCGAAGGTTGACTATTTCCGAAATAAATCTGCCCAGGGTGATGACTTCGCCTGTTTGAGTTTTATTACCATTGGTACCCTCAACCCCATTCGGAGGCTGCTGGCTTATGGACGTGCCTCCGTGGCGAACTATGAACTCCAGTAGAGCCTCCAAATAGTGCTTCGCGGACACATGTCCACCACCACCAGTCGCAGCCATCACTGCGATATGGTGCAGGATCGTGCGTCCACTATAGTCAACCATGTCTATGGTGGGGGCCAGCACTTGTAATAAGCGCGGAAAGCTTCTGTAATCGAGGTTGTTTCTTGTCCCGACGGATTTCTGTAAAGCAGTCTCGCCCGCACCGTTTAAACGATAGATGCTCACGCCTTTCTCGACGAGCGCATAGACAAGAGGCATCCGAGCAAGCATTGCTGCCCAATGAAGAGCGTTGTTGCGGTATTCGTCAAGTGGAATTTCTAGATCTTCACCAGTGAGTTGCAACAACGCCGGATGGTTGGAGAAATCCTTGGTCCTCTTGTCAAGAAACAAGGTCATGATGAGCTTCATTTTCTGAAATCTTTCTGGAGTTGTGGCAGGAGGCAGAGGGTCTGAGCCACGCCTGTTGTCATCCACCATAGAAGCGGGCCCGTCCATTTCCTGGTAGAAAGAGTCGTTCGGTTCTGTCGGGGTAGGTTCTTGCATGGACAAGGAAGAGTGCTCCCGTTGAAGCCCGAAAGATGGCACATGGTTGGAAGACGACCTGATACGTTTACGAGGTGGCTCGATCGACTCTTCTGTTTCGAAGGCGGCGACATCAGGGCCATTGAATCGGCCATTGCTCTGTGCATTGCTGCCAAATCCACTGTCGGAGGCCACACTGTACATGCTCTGCTGACTGCTGAACGTGGGGAGCTGAGACTCCTGGCTGCTGATCTGATGTGACGACTTTCGCATGATACTCGAGCGCCTACTATCGGCATTTCTTGCTGCAGGTGAATCGAACCGAGCTTTGCTGATAGCGTTGACAGCCGTTGCAGCGGTCCGGGAGATATTCTGGAAGAAGGTACCCTGCTGCGGTTGCGACATTCCGCGGTTATCCACACCGCTATAAAGCCTCTTCCTCTGCGCTGCCATCGCTTGCTCCTTTGTAGGAGTGTCTAGGGTGTCATGGCCAGTATTTGCGGTGCCGTTGGGTCCCATATCGTATTCGAGAAGTGGTCTCAATAACTCCTCGACATGATACTCACGGCAAAGCTCGACGCCTCTCTGATAATTCACCCACGTTCCTTGGTATTTTCCATAGCCTCCCTGAACTTTCTCATGTTCGCCTGCAGCAATTTCTTTCTCGAGAGTTTTCGTTCTTCGAGCTTTAACAACGCCCGCTACTTTGAGGATTTGAGTAGCATTCAACCAGGAATCGGAACGTCGCTTCATAACGGCAACACCATTTACTTCCATTTCGTAGACCGAGACGTTGGAATAGACAGCCTTGAACGAGAAGAATCGTCAGTAAATAGAATCGCAATGTCAAGGGATAAACCGACTTTGTATATCTGCGGTCTATATTCCTCTTGATACTGCACCATTGCTCCATAGCCATTCATATCATCAAACCCCCCAAAGCTACCTCTCGCGCCGCCTGGAAGACCATTTGGATAACTAAAGGACATCGATTGCTGTGAGCTTTTCGGAGGGGGTGTCGCTCGAGGCGTCGACGCGACGGACTGCGAAGCATTGAAAGATCCCATTTGTGACTGAGAGAAAGCTATCCCATTTGCGGAACCTAAGCTGCTTTGAGAGTACGACATGGGCAAGCTGGGTCGCGGAGGATGGTGGTTGTTGGAAGTCATCACTTGGAGGTCCCGTTTCTGCCGAACCCTGACACCATGCACATGCGTGGTCTGAGCGTGATGTGTCAGTACAAAATGCGACTCCTCATATACTTATCACTACTCTTCCATCTCATTTGGAAAATAAGCAAAGATGAAAGGAAATTTCGGGTCGGGACAAGGATGAAATCGAGTGGGGAAACGCACCTAATCAATAACTACCGAGCAGGTGAGTCGCGCGAGGAGGCAATGAAGGGCGCGTGGCTGGCGCCTTGATCGTGAAAGGGATGGGAAAACAAGCCAATCTGAGCAAACGGAGAGATGTACAAGTAACAAGAGCCAGAATAAATCGACCTGTAGCTATGAAATATGCATTCGCCAATTCTAGATTCAATCAGTCTGTAAATCGTGCATGGAAGTGAACGAAGATCGTGACGAGGAGTCGCGGGGCCTGACGGTCGCGTTCTCCGCTTGGCGTTTTCGCGTAACTCCGAACTCAAAAAACCATCTATTTCCCTTTTCGGCCGGGGGATTGACTTGTTCTCCGCTCGATTCTTTGTCCCCGGGACCATCGGTGATCGTGACGACCACCTGCACTGCAAGATGCAGTATAGACGGATATTTCCAATTCCATGAACTGCGATCGATAAATTTTTCCAAGTGAACAATGTCCTCCTCACCACTCATCCCTCCCGAACAATGGCGACATCTCTTCCGTGCCTTGCTGCGCGAATGCACATATCTCCCTGATCCGATCGCCAGAGGTTACATGCATGACTATGTAGTCCGGAGATTTCGACGCTATTCCGACAAATCGCAATCTAAGCTACAAGATGATTTACGTCGGCAGCACCTCCTCCGCAAAACCGCAACCCAGAAACTGTCGTTATTGAAGCGTGCCAACGAAGGCTATTCTCGACCGCTCGAAAAAGTACTCCGGCTCTCATATGGACGAAATGGAAAGAAAAGAAGGGATTTGCTAGGTGTCTTCATTGTCCCGGAAGTTCCTCCCGATGCCTTGGCCGTGGAAGGCATTCTGAAGGGGCCTTCAATGTTCGAAGATGATTGGAAACCTCCGACGATTGTGCTCGATCTCTTGAAGTCTCAATTGCGGAATGGAGTCATTTCACAGCTCAGCGATCGTTCTGTTGTTAAGACTCTGGAGCCGCCTATACCCAAGGAAAACAGCTGGGGCAAGCCGGTTGCCAAAAGTCGTCGGCGGAATATCAGGAAAAGATGGTACTACGCCGTGCTCGACAGCCTTCTGCCGCCGCTCCCTGATGCAGAGCTCGATACATTGCATGGTCTGATCTCTGGGAGAATACCATGGACACCACCGAAGAGAAGGAAAGCCGTTGGCGTTCCCCTGGACTCTCGCAGCAAGACCAGTCTTGATGTAGTATTTCTCACTGAAGGACCAAAAAAGGGGCCGACATTTAGGGACTTCGTCAACGGGCGCCCTCATCAAATCACACGACGATTCATGCAACGACTTTGGGGGCGCATCTACTGCATGGTGCCGCGCTTGGAATGGGATGAGAAGAACCAAAAACATTATTTCAAGTGGGAATCGATGAAGCCCTTTCCCCGCATATCTACCGTCGTTCAACACGATCAAGTGCCAGACCTCTTCCAGAAGGTTGATGTCAACGGGAGATTGATACAACGTCCCTCCAGGGGCCGGGTACAGGTGGCTACGGAAGAGTAACCGCGTGCTACTCTCCGCCTTGCCCACAGCGGGCTTGCGGGTTCGCACAAGTGTAAGACCTCTCTCGCAGGCGGGTCCAGCCAGTCAGGCCATACATTAGCGTGTCCCTTCGTGTGACTAGTACGGCATTCGCAAGATCCTCGGTGACCGGCCCCCGGGTCCTCATTAGGTGCCTTCCCGGAATTTCCTCGAAGAAGATATCGTCCTGAGACTGAAAAAACTGTGTACAGTTGTTACACCTACATGTTGTCTCTGACAATAATGCTCTGCCTCCGATGGTTTCGGGTTAAAACAGAGCAAACTTATACTGGACATGACGTCATATAAAGAAACATAGGTAGATGAGCGAGCATTTCGAGAGAAAACAGCGATGAGCGGGATCAAAATATCTTCTAATAAATGAATAATGAATTAACCAATGAAACTCTGACGAGCTATTAGATTTCTCTGATCGTTGCAGGGTGACCGCTGAAGGTAACCGTGATAGCTCATATCGCGCGTCTGTGAGGTGGGCTTGTTTACACCCCTCTGAGCCTCCTCAAATTCGACGCGTTTTCCACCAACTGATGTGATTTTTCATCATTCAACTCATCTCTGTCATGTATTCAGTCTATTAAAAGACCCATTCAACGCTATACAGAACACCATGTCTCTTAAAAGAAATCCACAGACCTGGACCCTTCAAGTGCTGAGAACATCCCTCCTGAGATTGATAGTGGCGATGAACGGCTAAACTACATCGACTGGAACTGCGACCAAGTCCGTCGACGGATTCGCGCCTTCATAGAAAGCGGAGAGATGAAAATCGGCGAGTTCCAAGACGCAATTGGCGTCTCCTCGCGTTCTTACCTGGAATTTTTGGGCCAGAACGGCCGCGACAAGGGCTCTAACCACCGCAAAGCAATCAACACCACTCCCACATATTCAATAACAATCCAAGTCCTCTCAACTCTTCCACTTCGCAGTTGTTGCATCCAAGCCCGCTAGGTCTCGTCGTCGTGATCGAATTCCTTTTCGTGTTTGCATCCTCGGGAAGGTTATGAACGGAGAATTCGACAAATCGACAGCGGACAGCCAAGTCTGCCGCGGAGATCCTTTCCTATCACACCAGTCAACAAATAAGCGTGTTTGTTTGCCTCCTGGTTCCCACTTACCGCCGGTTACCATCAGACTAACCAGCATAGTTAATGCCAACCTTCCGTCAACGACATCCATCCCTCATTCTTCGATTGCGCTTGCCCTGTCGCGTACAACACCGTCTGTCAGCACATAATAACAGGTGGAGGTTCTAGAGATGAGTCAGCGTGGAGGACTTTCCCTGAACAAAAATTCCTTGGGCACTTTCCGGTTCAGTCAAGTCTCAGTTCCTTGTACTGGCTGATTCCAGTTTTCCGTGTCCCGTGCAATATCCACAAGCCTCTTCCTCTCTGTCGAGCGAGTTATCGAACAATCATGTCCCTACGCACCCGCAGACTAGAAATGAATCCGAATTGTGATGCAAATGACTGATCCTGCTCATAGTAGTCATCACTTTTGGTGCTCATCTTGGTCTCACCTCTTTTGGCGATTAACACCGGACACCACGTGAAGGTGTGAGCATATGGTCCCGGTAACCACAACGTCCGGCTACTGTACGTATCTGTACAGCACCAAGGCAACTATCGTGACATGTGCCAGACGCTTACCTTGGATCGGGTACAATGCATACATGATATGCACTTGATGGACCCCTCCCTCGAGCTACCTTCCCCAGTAGGTTCTCTTGCAGTTACTGCATAAAACCTTGAGGTTGGTCTTGTTCACAACATGGTTGCCCTTGCACAATGGTGAACCTTCGACGGCACCGCAATCGTCACAAGTGATTCGATTGTGGTTTATGCGATCCTGTTTCATCCGCGCATTGATTATCAAGATGCGGTTGTCTGCAGGGTCTCTGTGACTCCCATCGGTGGACCAATGTAGACCACATGGGGAGCACAGGATCATGACGAGTTCCTTGTTGACGTTAAACAGTTTCGTGGTGCCTAGGGAGCCCTCGGCTATTCCACAATTGCCACACACGATCTCGTTGCCGGCTTTCCGGTCAGCTAACATCTTCCCTCGGAGCACATGGGCTTGAGCTAGTGTCAGAGGCCGATGTTCCTTGTTTTTACGATAATAGAAATCGCATTGATAACAAAGCAATTTCCGGGTTTCGCGATTTGTGAGATGTTTCTTCCCACTGCACGCAGGAGAACCCTCAATCTCGCCACAATTGTCGCATATGATGTCCTCGCCTGCTTTCCGAGCCTCTATCAGATACACAGTGTCAAGGAATATGATGACCTCCTCAGAAGTGCGCATTCTTTGTTTGTCTTTAACAAACTCCCAGCATGGCTGGCAAAGAAATTTACCCGGGAAGAGATCATGAATCTGGTGACCGACAGTTCGTGGACTTTTGTCCCTTTTTGTCGTGTCCCACCTTACAAGATTTTGCGATTCGAGCCTTTCGCAACATTCGCATTTTGCGTCTCTTCCAGCAGCTTTCCTCGTTTCCAAACGCATTGCGATCTTGTCGAGGAACTCTCTGTCTGGAAGTACCCCGTGCTTAAATCTGTAGTTGCCACAGCAGCCACATATATATGGGCCTAGAGGGTCACCGAAGTTCAAGTGATAGCGCCGGGATTTTGGTGCATCATCAGGGCGCAGATGCTTTGGATAAGTCATCTTGTCGCAGGCTGGATTACTGCACTCGGACGGCGACCCAGCGGCTCTATTATAGAACCCTTGATATAAAGGCCATGCCGCATTCATCCCGGGCCAAGAGATTAACGGAAGGTTCAGACTTTCTCTGATTCTTTCCGTCAACTTATATGTGGCATGCGTTGCATACCTGTGGATGTATCCTTGGTACGTATAGGTTCCTAAAAGCACCATGAATATGCCTTCTACGAGGAGGAGATATCCATCCTCAACAGGCTGATTGAATACCACAAGCAATCTGAAGTTGCAATGCGCTCCATCTCGGCAAATTTGCTTATAATGGAGGCTTCGCTTGTTATCTCGCGGCAGACAGTTGGATGAATAATTCCGAGAAATGCCCAGATGTTCGGAGACACGTCGTGCGAGACATTTTGATGACCCTACATAGGCGTCACATCCTATATCACCCGGATTTTTAATTTGACCGGTGACAAAATTGCCATAGATACCTTGGCGTTTATCATCACCAGTTAGCGGAAGGGACAGGAGATCCTCTAAGGACCATGTCTCCTTCTCGAACAGAGCTTGGACTTGCAGAGGTACTCCGGGAAGTATCAAATCGACTAGGAAGTCAACTGATACGCGACAAAGTAGTCGCCAGAATCCCCAGGTCACGGCCATGTCCTTTGGACTCATAGCCGTGTAGTCGTGCTCTTTTGCCCAGTCTACTAGTTGGCTGATTGTCTTCCGCAGTATGACTGCGAACTTGCCATCAGCAACGGTAGTTGGAACGAGGATGGTCGGCTCGGTTTTGACCTCGCTGACAAAGTCCTCTTCATCGATGTCATCTGGACTGACAATAATGTCATCATCACCGATGTCTTCGATTTCATCGTCGTCGATCTCGTTGTCTAGTAAGGCGTCGATTTCGGCGTCGATTTCGGCGTCGATTTCGGCGTCAAGGTTATCGCGCTGTATGGCGTCGGATTCCTTGTCGTCGGTGGATGGCGGCGTTGAGGTAGAGACCCCTTCTGAAGGAGCCACATCTTCCTCGATATGAGAAAGTTTTCTCTTTCCTTTGCCATGCTCCTGCAGAATATTATCCGAGCCCATAGCCCGGCGTCGCTTTCTAGCTGGAGTGGGCTCTGAATCTTGGACGCGGTTTTCCTTGTCCTCAGAAGCCGAGGCCAGAGTCGCCTCGGGGAGCTCGACTCTTGCCTTTTGGGTTGTCTTATGATTGATAAAATCCATCTCTATGGATCAATTGTCAATTGAATAAAAAGATGGGACGCAATGGCTACAGTAATGATTGTCTCGATCGCGTTGAAGGAAGAAACCATCTTCTCGCGTTCCTCTACGAATGACCCATCCGAACTGGGGGAACCATCAGCATGACCTCCAGAATAGGAAGGCGTGCCATGCCTCAGGCTGATCAATCTTCTTCCTACGTGCTGGTTCTTGATCGGGGGCTTGAGGATATAGATCTGCTGATACATCATGTGCAATTAACAAGTGCAGGGATTAATCTACATAATATTCGTACTGAAATTTGTTGGATCTGTCTCGAATTCGGCTGGTTGTCTTGTTCGCTTGGGACCAGGAGATAATATCCATGAATTGAACCACTAAACATTTTAGGAGACGTCTCTGGTCAGTCTAATACAAGTTGACTGCCTTCAGATGCGCATTGAATCAAGATATATTCGATGTTGGCTATTGTATAGTACTGCTCATCGGGACACCATCCGGATGGAAGCAGCAATACAACAAACATTGCCTAAGAGACACGAAAGGTCAATCCCGTTATACCGCGATAACTAGAGATATCGTCGCTTCTACCACCAAAACACCTTTCCTATCCAATTTCCCAGCTAACACTCTTCTTAGTGCTGAAGGAGAGGCTCATGATATGGTATGCGGTCGTGCTCAACGTACACCTATCACGAAAGGACCCAGTATTCTCGCCATGGGAGCTATGATTCAAAGACGGTTAATACTCACGATGTTAATCAGTATGATCAGCCGAGGACATGGAGGTTATATGGGTCCATGGCAAGCTTAGATTGATGTTTAGCTCAGAGTTCCGAGTGTTCCAAGCATGTCACTGCCTCACTGCCAATGTGTCTGTCGAAACTGAGGCCTGAGGATGTATCGTGCTTTAGGTAAGCGCACTTTCCTTCCTTTCTCCTTCCAAGTAGCAGCAATAATAGCAGCAACAGCAACATCATCATCATCGTCATCATCATCATCATCATCATCATGGGTAAGTAGTCATCTCCTTGGCAATATTACTCTTAGAGGGCTGTAGACTGATTTGTGACTTAGAGGGCCAGCGTTCTTTGCTTGACAGAGTTACTACGGTAAGTTTCCCTTCTTCCTAATAGAAGCCCTTTTGAGGAGCAACAGAGATTGCTTTATAAACTTGATTAGTATTTATAAGGCTATTTCTATACGTTGTCTCTTTAATCATCAGTTTTCTCTCGATCCTGAGTAATCTGCCTTTGTTGATCGTTCCTTGATTATTTCTTGTCCTATTACCCTTTGCCCCTTCTATTCCCGTCACTGCTTGGTCGAGATTTCTTATTTACTACTTATTTACTATGCCTCATTTCAATACAGTGGCATGTGAGTTATGTTGTGGTATACTAATACTCAGGAAATACAGCCCAAGAGGAAGGCCGAGAAGAAGACCGAGGAGGAGCCCACTGCCACGCCCGCCGGTGCCACCACCACCTCCGCCTCCGCCCCTCCGCTCCTCCCCCGCGCAAGGTAATATAATAAAACTAGCATTCTTGACAGGCACATGACTAACTGACTTATAGAGGACTCGCCTGGAAATTATGAAGCAAGAGTGGTGCAAGGAGCTTTTACAAAAGGTAAGCTCCCCTTTAAGTATCAATGCATACATATATGTTGGATATGTACTATGTCCTCTATACTATATGCACTATATATCTTAAGATAGTACTAACTATAAGGTTATTTATTAGCTCCGGGCGGACCATTGGGTTGTCCCCGAGGACGACGAAGTCGGGGGGCCTGGCCAGGGGATACCCTGACCGCTGGCCAGGCCCTCCGACAGCAGGAGTTGCTGGACGAGCTCGAGGAGCGCAAGGCAATCAAGGACCAGCGCCTCCTTGAGAAGCGGGAGATCCAGGATGAGATCCGCGGCCTCCAAGTCCGCTTGGAGGCCGCGGATCAGGCCTTCCACCAGGCGAAGGCGGATGTGACAGAGACAGTTCGTAAATTAAATAAGCTTTAAAGAAGGCAGAACTTCGTCAATACACAGCTTTAAATCAAACCATTGGCACATTATTAGCCGTAGTAAATTTCACTATACATACAGAGTGATCAGCCATGTCCCTGTCGAGCTCGGTTTTCTCAACATGCCATATTTGTCAACATATGGAAGATTTTGTGTTGTTTTTTTCCCCCCTTTTTTTCCCTTTTTCTTTTACCTTTTAATTAATCTTATTCTTAAAACGAGACTGGCAGTTCACTTCATTATGACCCCGTAGCTAATAGAACGTAACTCCCCATAGCAATAGAGATTGCTTTATAGTGTGCTCAACAATTATTGGGTTGTACCAGATGATGGAAAAGGTCCGATACTATCGTCAGCGAATCATTGAAGGCCGACACCCTGCAAAGGTCAAAACAGTCTAGCCTGTTAGGTGACTGAACCATTGATATACTACTGTGGAGTTGTATAGCTTCAACATCATCGTCAAGAGACGTGTGCATCAAATTCATACTATCATAAGATCTATACGCATGACAGAATAGCAACCGGTTTGGCAGCCAGCTAATTAACAAATCCAAGCCAATTCCCTTTTCCTTTTGTCTAAGAACTCCTTCAGATGTCGTCCTCGTCTGAGAAGACTTCCTCTCCACGCTTGCCTATAAAAGAAGTTAGTATATGCATCTTTAGGGGGCTTTTCGAGGAGGGGTACGCACGACGAGCGAGACGCTCCTTCTTCTTCTTTCTAAGCTCGCTTGAAGTGAGCTTCTTCTTCTTCTCAACCGTACTTTTGTTGCCAAAGGCGTCCACTACCTCAGTGTCTCCCTCCTTGTCGGCCAGACGAGGACCGGAGCCTTGACCCTGAACCCAGTTGTGGCCGGAAGGAGTCATCTTGCCGTCCATGACAGCCCAGACTTCCTCGGTCAGGTTCTCAGTGAACTCACGGGAGTGGGTAATGATAACGACACCACCCTCGAAAGACTTGAGAGCCTTGGACAGGGCACCCAGTGAGTCACGGTCGAGGTAGTTGGTGGGCTCGTCGAGGACGATGACGTGAGGACGCTGCCACGAGCAGGCGGCGAGGACGACCTTGACACGCTGACCACCGGAGAGACCGCGCATACGGGAGTGGGAAACGAGTTCGGCATCAAGACCGAAGTTGGCGCAGTGGACCTCAATCTCCTTGCGGACCAGAGGACGGAACTGACCGCTGGCGAGGGCCTCCTTCTGGTCGACCTCGGCAACCATCTTGGCGTGGGACTGGATAATCTCGCTACGAGGAATCCAGGCGTTGTCATTGCTCATCATAGGAGTCCACTTCTCGCTCTTCATGCCGATGTTCTCACCGAGAGCGAACGAGCATTCGTACTCGTAGCTGTTCTTGAACTTACGACGAGCGTGGATACCGATGACACGGCGGTAGGTACCCTCGATCTTGTAGATCTTGTCCATGGCCTTCTCATCGTCCTCGGTGACGATCTTGTTGGCACGGTCCATAGTCTCACGGTCCTCACCGGTCTGGAAACGCCACTGAATGTACTCAGAGGGAGTCTTGTCGAGGTGGTTATCGATGTGAGCGAAAGCATGCTGCTTGATGTAGGCGATACGGATGTTCTCGTGCTGGTAGACATCACCGCCGGTGGGGATGAGCTCACCAGTCAGGACGTTGACGAGGGTGGATTTACCAGCACCGTTGGGACCGATGACGGCAATACGAGAGCCCAGAGAGACTTGGAAGGAGATGTCGGTGAGCTGGGGCCGGGGAGTTCCGGGGTACTGGAAGGACATGTTGCTGACACGGATGATGGCCTTGGCCTTGGTCTTGACACCCTCGAGGAAACCAGGCTCGGGGAACTTGAACTCCATGTCGGAGGCGCTGAGCTCGTAGTAGGAACGAGCGCTGGGAACCTTCTTGACGAACTCGCTCAGGTTACCGCGGTAACGCTTGAGCTTGAAGCGCTCGTAGTGGACAACGTGCTGGATGACATTGTCCAAGAACTTGCTGTCATGGGAGACGATGATGGAAGTGCAAGGAGAGGTGCAAAGGTAGTTCTCCAACCAGGCAACGTTCTTGACGTCCAAGTGGTTGGTAGGCTCGTCAAGGAGCAGAATGTCGGGGTTCTCGAACACGGCACGGGCAAGAGCCAGCTTCATCTTCCAACCACCAGACAAGGAGGTGATGGGACCTTCAAACTGCTCACGGAAGAAACCGAACTCCTCGAGCTTGGCTTCGACCTCGGACTGGGCGATGTCGATACCGACCTCACGGAGCTTCTTCATGGTCCAGCCAATGACGGTCTGCTCAGTGTCGGCAGCATCCAAGTCGTGCTCAACGTAGACAGTCTTGACCTCGTCCTTCTTGGGGAAACCTTCAAGCTGCTCGTTGTTGATGGCGCGCATCAGAGTAGTCTTACCGGTACCGTTAGGTCCGAGAAGACCGTAACGCTGACCACGCTTCAGGCGGAGAGAGGTCTGGTTCAGCAGGATCTTGGCACCATAGGCCAGAGAGAAGGTGCAGTTGCAGAGATCTTCACCCTCCTCCTCGTCGGACGGGACGGCATCAGCCTCGGCAGCGCCAGGAGAAGCGCGCTTGCGCAGAGTCTCGGCAATGGTCTTGGCTTCCTCCTCACCAACAATGGCGGTGATGTAGGGAAGAGCGTGATGGGTCCAGCTGGTGACCTCGGCGTCCTTCTCGTCAACGAGCTGACCAGCGATGGCACCGACATAGTTGATGATGGCCTCAGACTTCTCGATCTGAGCCTTGTACTTGGGGGAGAGGATATCCTTCAGGATACCAGCAACGGTCTCAACGTCACCGGCAGTCGAGATCTCGGGGATCTTGCCATCCTTGACATCACCGACACGGATGAGGGTGTCCAAGGCCTGCTTGGTCTTCTCACGGGCCTCAGGATCGGCAAGAGTGTCGTGGTTCTTCTCGAGACGGGGCATCAACTTGGGCAAGAAGGGAGCGACAATCTGGGGGTCCTCCACGAGCTTACACATGTTGTCGACAATAACGGCGGACTTACGCTTGATGGCAGTCTCGCGCTCAACGAGACCACGGTCAAGCAGAGGGACCATAATGGCGAGGGTAGGACCAGTGACATCGGAAACGAAAGTGGTAGCACCGAGCAAGTGAACAGTCTCGGGAACGTTCTCAGGCTTGGCGATACACTTGATGAGCTCGGGAATGAAGCGCTCAATATCCTTGTTGACGATCAGACCGCAAACCTTCTCCATTGTGGAATAGGCAGCCTTCTTGATATCGGCCTTGGTGTCCCACATAGCCTCGGACACAGCGGGGATCAGCTCAGGCACACGGAAGGAGAGCTGAGCAGGGGCGGACTCGACGAGGCAGTTGAGGCAGTCGAGAGCGCACATCTTCTCCTGCCACTTCTGGGCATTCTGGAGGGAGTTCAGAATGATAGGCACAACAGCCTTGACGGCGTTGGCGTTGATACCCTGCACGATGGCGAGGGCGGCAGCCTGGGCAGCCTTCTGAACGGCAGCCATCTTATCACCGGCAGCAGCGAGGACGGGGCCGAGGAGAGAGACGAGGTGGGGCTCAACACCGGGAGCGATGGTCTGGTGGGAGGCGATAGCGCGGATGGCTTCGCAAGCACGCTCACGGGCAGTAGCATCCTTCTTGTTGTTGAGCTGCTTCTGGAATGCATCGACAGCCCTGAGTGAAGAGAATGTTAGTACAGGCATTGAATTTCGCAATCATACGGTCAAAACTTACTTGAGAGGCAGTGTCTGTTCAGGGATAGGACCGCTGAAGTAGGTGGCGAGGTTGCCAGTTGCAGCGTGAACCTCGTCAGCGCTTGTCGAGATGGTGAGGTTCTTGATCAAATCCTCAAGAACTGCGACAGCCTGGGCAGTCTCCTTGCCAGAGACGGCAGGAACGGAAGAAACATCAACAGCAGGCATTTTGGACGAAATCGTGAAGACGAAAAAGGTCGGAAAGAATTAAGTGATGAGGAAATGAAGAAAGAACGGGCGAAAGGCGTTCTATTAGGGTATCTCAATCAAGAGGTGGCGGCCCACGAAAATTGCGTCTGTGTAAATGGACGACGCAAGAGACGCTCTAGATAAAATCTATGCTTTTGTCTATGCAGAAGACAAAAAGGAAAATGAAAAGTAAAGAGAGGACTAGACCTCTTTTCAGAAAGAAGAAAGGATGAGGAGTGAGACAGAGTGAGAAGGAAGAGGGGAATAGGAGGATGGGGAGGGATGATATTTATCGGTTTGTGGCCATCTTTTTTTTGCCGCCCAACCTTACAGCGAGGAAAAAAAAAACTGCAAAGATAAAAAATTTTTCATCGTTGTCCCGCGCTAAGACCACATTCGCACTAGTAGCTATGGCTGTCGAAGCAACCAACCCGATAGGGTCCGTGTCTACTTCGGGCTAATCTGGCCGCAGCTGATTGGCCAGCAACCCTCCATGATGGCGAAAGGGAGAGGAACCCAGTTGATGGAATGATTTTTGGTTGGAAACTTTTTCATATTTTCCTTTCTGGCTCGCTTATCAAATCTGGATCGGACAAACCGAATTCTGAAGTTTCAGCTTTTTTAATTCGATGCGATGGAAAAACTTCGCTCAAGTTCTGTTATCATAGAAAACTTTTTGTAAGCTTTCAGTGGTGTGATAATGGGACATCAATAAGATTAGTGGACTGAAACTTGGCCTTAGGAGGCAACTTCAATAAAGAATGGATCGAATAATTATGGAATATGGAGGCACTTCCAGCCAATCATAGTTTGAAGAGTGAGCAGCAGCCTGTAGCCCCTTTCTTTCTAATGAATGATTATTACAAGGCTGATGGAATCTATGTACAACACTTGCACAAACCTGGGGGAGAAAATAAATGAAGTACAGTTACCAATCTTTAATTCACAACAAGCTGAGCAGGCTTACAGAGGCTTGAATATGAGGATGGCAGCAATGAGTATTTCATACACTGAAAAACCGGATGCTGCGCATCCCTTGATCAGCATTGCGCTGTTGGGCTAGAAGTTTAGTCCCTGACAGGTGTGAATCCGGGGATGCAACAGTCAACCACTGCAGTTGACTAGTCTCCGTGAAATTGTTGGGGCTGCAGATGCTGCTGGGGCTATTTCTGTCGCCACAAAAGACTCTATTGTACCTCGACTTGGTGGCGCAGCGGATTCTTACTTAGCCTTTGGGCTCGGTCTTTGTACCAAAAACATGTGGAAGTCTGGGAGTGACGACGACAAACAAAAATTATTTTTAGAGTTGGGAAAGCCTTCTCCATTCGATCGCTTTATCCGCTCTTGCCGGTCATTCCCGCAGAGTAAGGTGATGGCTAAGCCAGTACTCTATGATGTACTCCGTTAGATTCTCCGTACAATTTCTGACTACGGTAGATAACGATAAGCGAACGATTGCGATAACAAGGCGGTGGAACTGGAAATTCAAGGAACGCAAGCTTGAATTTTCATTATTTTTCCTGAGAAAACTATCTCCTCGATCAACATTCTACGGTAGTATAATTCTTCGCATTGCCTTCATTTAAGAGGATTTGAAGAAAATATATCAAAGGGGGACCTACCCCTTATCGACAAGAAGGCAGAAAGTCAAAATGCAACCGAGATTACGAGCCAAAGGGACCAGCACAAAAGAGACAAGAGTAATCCGTACGCATTCAGGGATACTCCGGGGTTCAGCGTCGTTCATATGAAGCAGCTTACTACTCGTTCATTTCCCATAGTTCTGAAACGATGGCTTACGGGAGGCATGGATGAGCATCACCGCCATTCTTCCCTGAATAGGAGAAGGACAAATCTCACCGCTCAATCTGTATATGGCATGTAGCATAGCACAGTAAAACCTCTTGACCGATTTATCAGGCTGGCTGCTCCTAGGTCGAACTTTATAGTTTACGTGGTCTCCTTTTCCCCTTCCCAAAAAGCATGGTTGCATTGCAGATGACTCCTGAAAATTGATAGCTTGAAACAAATAAATCAGCAAAACACTACTCCATACATCTTCGGATATCAAAAATCGATCCTTATCCCTTATCGTTGCTTATCGAGCATCGGAATTGGATATTTTCGATCATTTTTGACGGCGCCTCGTTATCGCTATCAGAATCTCCGGATTGAGATCCCTTGATCCTGCCCTTATCCCCCGCGAAAAAAACCAGAGATGGTGGCAAGCCGGTGGGTCAAAAACTTTAACCTCACATTTATCGTTCTTTTCAATAATAGGCATTTCGAACTTTGGTAGATTTCAGTAGTCTATTCAACTTTTTCTCGAAATTTTTGTCTCATTTTTGTTGTCCTGTTTGTTATGATTTTTTGGGGAATTTTTCCACATCCCCCGTTGCCAGTTCCATGAATTTTTCCGATCGGATCTCACCCTTGCTCGTCAAGCATAGAGACCTCAGGACCTTTTTTTCCCGAAGTGAACCATTGTCTCTCCTAAAATCACAATCAGCCTCGACATCGACAAGGTCGCCAAATTCCTCGGTATCATGACTATTTGTTAACGTTATTTATTCGTAAATCCCATGATAATAAACCCACCATATCCAATCACTTTATATCATGTCATCCGCTCATGTCACAGCCAGAGCTTGTGTACCAGTCAGCTGTCAGCTCGCCACCACTCGAACACATTATTACGTCTTGACTTAGTAATCCTGCGGCCAGAACTGAAAAGAAAAGCAATAATGAACGGTGGTAACAGTTCCCTTGGTTGACACTCCCTGGATTATCCGGTGATTACAACCATATAGCGTAGACGAACTTCCAGATTTGCCACCCGACATTTGTTCAGAGCTTCCAAGCTCACTTCTAGAACATTTCCTGATTCTACCGCCGACAAAGCCATTGACGTCGCTCATTCTGGACCCTCAAATTGGACACTTTCAATGCCGTTCCATAGGAATGGGCTGTCGTTACCGAAGCGGGACCGATTCGGTCCAGGCGTTATGATGTGGCAACAAGAAGAATGCTTGGTACGCTGAGCATTGGGGAGAAAGTACCTCTGTAAGAGCTGGCCGATGTCAAGAGCTTCTCAAGCCGATTACGAAGGTGGATCCAATACAATGATGGAAGATATACATTTGTGATGAACGATAAGCTGTTAACAGTCTGTCAACTATACGGATGTAAGAATACAGAAAACGCCAGGAAACACCATCTTCATCTTCGGCTGTTTTGTTCATATAGAGCACAACAGGGTATCATCGTAACTGTCGTAGCTAGACTTGCAGCGAACAAGGTTGGCAAAGATCAAAATGAACTTGCGTTGGGTGACCAAGGGAACTAGTCAGAGCTCGAGCTAGAAGAGCTAGAACTCGATCCACGCCTGTGGCCCTTGTGGTGCTTCTTCTCCTTCTTGTGCTTCTTCGTCCTATTCAAAAGTTAGAGTCTATTACAATCAGTCAAAGTAAGTGCCGAGCCTTACATCTTACTGGCCATGTTCAATCCAGCAGCGCCTGCTAGTGCTCCTCCTGCAGTGCCTAGAAGTCCACCGCCGAGCTTTTTGCCTATAATCCCACCAGCAGCACCTCCAAGCAAGGTCGAACCCAGGCCCCTTTCACCCTCCTGTCCGACGGGCACAGGAGCATGCGCACCCTGGTAGTGTTGTTCCGGGTGAGGAGCGCCATAGTAAGATGCGCTTGCGCCTTGGGGATTGTGTTGTTGCTGCTGCTGTGGAGGATACGGAGAGTGACCACGGTCGTGCGACGGATAGTTCACGGGTGCGCCTTGCCCGTAGTTTTGATCACTTGGATACCCGCCCTGCTGGTGAGGAGCGCCATGTTGAGGCGGGTAGCCTTGTTGGCCGTATGAAGGGGGAGGACCGGAATATTGAGGATGGTGCTGTTGCTGGTCGTAGGAAGGCTATCAAACCAGGAAAAGTTAGCTCAAAGTGCCTTCAAGTAACGGCGCGACAAAACCAATCATTGACCGTGTAATAAGTTTCAGAAACACAATTTTCGACCAAGAGGGTACTTACTCCAGGTGGGTAATAACCATGTTGCTGGGGAGGCTGCCCGTACTGGCCTTGTGGGGGAGGGTGGTTGTAGTTGTGCTGACCTCCGTAGTATCCGTCGCTGGGCTGGCCATGGCCTTGCTGCGGGGCACCGTATTGATTGTAGTGGTTGTTGTACGGATCAGACATGGTGATGAGAGTGAGATAGTGAGTAATTTGTCTTTGATGGATGAGATCTTGCAAGTGCACAACAAGAAAAATGAAAGAGCGAGGCGCAGGCAAGGTGGTCTTATATACGAAGGACAGGCGTTCGCAATCTCAGTCTCAATGGCGGGGCCGTCTGACAATGTGGAAGGAGCCACGGCTCAGCGCGAAACAGTGTGAAATTCAGGGGCTCCGTCCCAGTCAGTACGTGGATTACGAGGCGGTGCAGCGGCTAAGCCGTCATTACCAATCATATTACTACCAACTCGTGAAAGCTGACATGGGCGTTATCTGACTCTGAGATTGCGTTGTATTTTATTTCATGCACCGCCCCATGACCTTCAAAAATGAGTATATCCAGTAGCCTGTGGCTACTGTGGCTAAGCAGTTGACCTACATGACAGGCAGCTGGGAAAACGGGTCAGGAAAATCCACAAACACAGTGTTCACAATCCAAATGAGTCAATGCTTTATATTGCTGCCATCTATTAATAAATCAAATCTCGATACTTTACACTGTTAGGCCATTATTGATTGTGTGGTCTGTTTGTCAGGGTGAATGTCACCGCCACCATATATCTGTAGCAGAAGCTCTGTGCTCCTTCATACAAACGGTCTTATCTGATAATCATACGAAAAGCGGGATACTATCAAATGATAGTCATAGATGTTAACTACATTCAGATCACAGTCGCCTCTCTCGGAATGATCCCACTGGCCGGATTATTGTTAGATCAGGAAACGAGGTGGCATATGACATAGTCAGCACATGGTAAAGCGAAGGGGAAATCAACATAAGAAGGAAATATGTCACTGCCAACCGACTGCTGCGTCGATATCAAGCGCTGTCCAGTAAAGAAGAACTTGGCCACCTCCTCCGTCGTGGCCTTATCCTTGTTAACAGTGGCCGCAACCACAACGGAATGAGAAATGCATCTCATCCATTTTCTCCGGATCTCTTTCCATTCCATCTCCTATCTTACTTTCTTGCCTCTATCGTGGTCTCTTCGGATCTGTAACCAGCTACATGAGTTGAAAGACCCCCTAAAGATGCATATACTACCTTCTTTTATAGGCAAGCGTGGAGAAGAAGTGTTCTCGGACGAGGATGACATCTAATCGAGTTGCTGGAAAAGAGAAGAGCTCTGGGTTTGGATTTGACGTTTTGCTGGCTATGTTCCCAGCTACAGACCTTTTACGCCTATAGACTTTAATTTGATAATATGAATTTCGTCGTTCATGATTCATATGAATGGCTGGTACAATTATAGATGTTTAAAAGATGAATTAACGTAGCTTTCGTTCGGCTTCAATCGTTCGCTAAATCGAATTGACACTGTACAAAGTCCGGCCAGGGTTCCAAGTGTCGTCAACGGACATCTGCTCATCATGCTATATGCAATGAGAACAAAGTGTCAATGGATTCGTGCCAGATTATCTCAATTTATACATCCATCTATTTCGTTTGCGATTTGCAGAATGCTTTATTATAGGCATTGCTACAGTTGGTGCACATAAGTCGGCCGCTTCTCTGATTCACAAGGATGACCTTTGCCTTTGGCGCCGAGGGATCTTTGATAGCTCCGCAGTTACTGCAGACAATCGGTCTCCCAAGCCTCGCGGCCTGTTTCCTGGTCTCGAAACGCTGCACGTGGCTGCTGTCACGCGTCTTGCCACTGCGGGCGAGGCTGTCACAGAGGTAACAGAGGACCTTTCCAGTCCCGAGTTTGCAATATGACCTCTTTTTGAGGGGTTCTCTACAGCGCCACAGTTGTCGCACCGAATCTCTCCACCTGCAGCTCTTGTAGCTTTCAGGTCAGAACGCTGCAAAAATTGCATAACCTCCTCTGGTGTACGTAGCCTTTTATTCTTATCAACAAAGACCCAGCATGCCTCACACAAAAGCTTTTTTGGGATGAGTGCATGTGTACGCCACCTGCGAGTATAGATGACTCTCTCACCCTTCCTCGATGTCATGGAGTGCTCATTCCTTGGGACTCAAAGGGTAAGAGGTGTCACGCACGCAGGAGCAGACCCGGTCCTGGTGTAGGGCATCCTTGAGGCACCGCTGACAGGGAAGAGCAGCGGGCAGGGGCTCGGCGCCGGCGGCAGTGGGGGACAAGGGAGGAAGGGCCCCGAGGGGCGGCAGCACGCCAAGGGAGCCGTCGGAACGCAGGGGCCTGCCAGTGGCGAGCTGGCTTGGCCCGAACTGGCAGCGGGAGTCGAACTGGCGTGGCACGACATAGTGCTGAGCGGAAGGCTGTTCAGAGACCCCAACGCCGGGGCCTCGTCCTCCGAGGAGGAAGGCTCTGACTCCACGACACGAAGACGGCCGCGAGCGTTCAAGGTGCTCGGATCGTCAGAGGACATACCTGGTTAGCACAGAAGACAAGACGGCGACACGCCAGAGACAAGAAAGGAAGACTCACGGAGGCTGCGGGAGACACAGGAGGAGGAGAAACAGCGCTTTTCTCAGGGTCAAAGTGTGCAAGGATGGGGGTGTCCACGAATGCGTTCTTCAGTTCTTCGAAGGCCTCTTGTGCCTCCTTCGTCCAGGTGAACGGCCCTGTCTTACGGCAATTCTTCGTTCCCTTTAAGAGGTCCGTCTACGGCGTCGTAATTCTGGAATACGCATGTATGAACCGTTGGGAGAATCCGGTGTACCCCAGGAATTACACAACAGTGACAGGCAGCATCCGGACCAGCCTCTGCTCTGGCCTCTAGACGGTCCTGTAACTTTGCAAAAACATCTTTATCTGGAAGGACACCCCCGTGCCATGACCTGTATCTGAAATAGATACCACAGAGACACAGCCCCAGAGGATTTCCAGGATCTCCACACTGGTGGTTATACTTTGGCGCCCCATCTGGACGCAAAGCTTCGGGATATGCTATCTGATCACATGCTGGATTGTAACACAGTGATGCGGACCGCGCTTTGATGTTAAAGAACCCCTAGCCTAAAGGCCAGGCTGCGTTTATTCCACACCACAAGGTAGATGGGATATCCAGATATTTTCTTATCTTTTCAGTTAACCTGTGGGAAGATCTTGTGGCAAATGTAGAGTAGTAGCCAAGGTGTTAGTATATATTAAAGAGAATCATAAAGATTCCCTTAAGCAGTAGTAAGTATCCTAGCCCTATTAAATGATTAAAAGTTGCAAGCCTTGAAAACCAGACTGAACGCCATCACAACAAATCTGTCTATAATAGAAGCTCTTCTTGTGTTCTTCTGGCAAGTTGGTCACTGAAAACTTTTCAGCTACTCCCAGATGCCGCGCAATGTGTTATTTTAGATGATGAGAAGAGCCCATATAGACATCATACTCCTCATCCTTATGTTGAAGATCACCAGGTGCAAAGTTGGCATATATGCCCTGACGCCCATCATCTTTGGCAAATGGGAGAGATGGGAAGTCCTCTTCGACAGCCTTGCGCTTCTTGTGCACCTCCTCCTGCTCCAGCTTCGCTACGGCCCACTTTCCGTCCAACTCGACGACATGGAGCTTATGCGCGGGGGTCAAATTCGACTGCAGCTTTGGAACCCCCAGCACTCTCCGGAACCTCTCCGGCAATGATGCCACATCGTGGCCCATGTCCTCATCTAGTAGATGATATCAATTAGTTACTGATATATACCTGTGTGCATAGACAATATAGACTTACTAGGCGGGTCGGCGAGTTGGTTAATAGATGTTATGATAGCATAAATTCCATACACAGTTTATTTGACTAAATTGAAGCTATACAAACCCCCGCAGGTACGTATATCGATTGTTCGGTCCTAAACCGTTTTAGTCTTTGCTTTCCCTGCGGGCCAGCATTATATTCCACATGGTGCAGGCGTCGCTGGCAGCAATGGCGAGGATGAGGAGTTGGTCCAACAGTCAATCAATTGTAGGGGATGTCACAGGTCTATCGAGATTGGCAATATCTCGATTTGCCGATATTGCAAGCCAGCGCAGCTGATAATGCGATTCCAGTGACCCGTTTCCCTCCACTTGACTTCCGTCGGCTTACCGTTTCCGCTCTTAGGATAAAACCGCGTTGGTACTTCTACTTCATCCCAGTCCTAAACTTGTCGGGCATTCAATGATTTGCTGATGATGGTATCGGCCCAACGTCATTATTAACTTGGTTGTAAGCACTGGATTGGGCCAGAGTCCAGACTGTCTCGACGACGATGACAAAGAGAAGGGGTCTGACCAAGGGACCGTCTATTAATATTAAGCATACGATAAGCATAAATGCATACGATATTTAGGGGTGGCCATGTACGATTCAAGTTTAATGCCATAAAGTGCTTTCGCAGTCGGAGAGGGCTGAAATCCAGTGTAGTGGTGACTATCTAGTAGTGGGGAGTCGATCTATGACAGAACAGTAGGTTGAACTGCGGTGATCCTTGGCCGAACCCACCGACCACTTTCCGACGCCAGCTGGGCTGTGTCCCTCGTTCAGGTTGAACGGGTGTCGAAGTTGGGCCTGGCTTGGTCGACACCCGCCGACCTGTGTCCCATTAAATGGCTTCATGCCACGGCTTGCCGAACTCCCGTACGACCGCAGGAGGGGCGATGGGGCCGACGGGCCCACTCTTGTCCATTTTTTTGCCTCAGGCATCAGCGCATTCTATAGATCCAGTGACTTTCTAGCCCCTAAAGCATCATCTATCTGGACTTCAAAGCAATCCCAAATACATATGGACATCCAACCTTGTATTGGTAATATCCCTCTTTAATGATTTAATGTATATGTGCTACTGTTTGCCTCACTTTATTGTCTGCTTATATTCACTAGGCCTGGTCAAGCCTGTGCAGCGGCCTCTCTGGGCTGCTAGGCCGAGGGAGCCATATTCATGTACATTAAATATCATGTCCGAAAGTCTTCAGTATTAGACTGCAGTATTCACTAATTTGTTTCACATCATATAGATCATGCCATTTACTGGCATCTAATATGCTTCTATTCACTGATGATAAAGCCTCGGCTATTTAGCGCTGTAGTCAAGCGAGGAAGTATAGACTTAAATAGTTCTGCCTCCCCCGTTCTTCTTGAACTTCTCTCTCATCTGTTTCTTCAAGTGTCTGCTCTTCTTGACTATCGAATGGGAACATGTCAGTCGATGACATGACACTGGGCCGAAGTCTCGACACTCACCCAGTGAAACGCATGTTCGCAATGGCGCCATCCATGATGCTATCCTTACAAAATGGACTGGCGGTCAGACAACCCACTGTCATGTACATTTTCTCTGTCTCAATCTCAACTCATTGATAGTTGATGATTCTCTGACAACGCTATGAACCCTCTGACAAGCCTTAAATCTTCCCGTCATATGTCGATCGAGTCTGACACCAAGCAGAGAGTCGTGGCACTCAACCAAAATGCTATTCTGACACACCAAGTTTGTCTCTTTATCTGGCTCCTCTGTCTTTCCCTCGACAATTTTTCAAATACGGAGCCTATGGACAATTAGCCCATTGGGTTGGACACCTTTGCGCCCCGCCATCATTTCAGAAAGGCGTTTCTCGAGCAAATGCATGGACCGAAGCAAAGGAAAGCAAGCAGATGACGGCGCTGCAGTCACAACAACAAGACAGGAAGGGCTCCGTTATTATGCTTATTTCTAGATTGGCTTGTCAAGCCAACCAAGCTTGATTTATTCGTCTTTTTATTCGTCTTTTTGTTTTGTTTTTGTCTTTTTTTGTATGGCTGGGAACCGGTCTACGTCAAAGGCTATCGGCATTGCTTCCAATGCCGAAACATGATAGAGTTTATCTTTTCACTTCGGAATCCTGCAGTAACGCTGGTATCTTTTGCAGAATGCGATTGTTATTCGAAACTCGAATGAACGTTTTTGCTGAGCCAGGCGTTTCAGGGCGCCCGCCACATGACCACTGATTCGGACACTGGATATCAATCCAAAGAAGACCTCAAGGGAGGCAGGGCTTACCTTGATGGCTGGGAGCCAGCCTACGTCAAAAGGGCTGTCGGCGATGCTTCCAATGCCGGAACATGACAGAAGTTATCTTTTTATCTCAGAAAGGCGCAATTGGACTGGTATGGCTTTCGCAAATTGCGATCCGTTACTCAAATCATACCAGTCCAATTGCGCGTTTTGGTCCCAACCACGAAAGAACTATTGGGGTTGTTACCCACACAGACACACTTCAACGGAACTTGGAGGAGGAGGAGATCCCTTCTTGTGTCTCTCCTGTGCCTTTCCTTCGACGAATTTTCGAAACGTGGAACCTACAGTCAATGGCTATAACTACATGCCATTGCACAGTTGCAGCAAGCGCAGAGTCGCAGAGATGTAACCGGAACTTCAGAAGGTAAGTCACTTTCATTTGATTTGAGGCTGGGAATGCTCCACGGTATTATTCTCATCTCTGTCAGATCAGCATATCAGCATTGCTCCGAACTGACGGTAAATCTTCTACAGGGCTCAAAAAACTGCGGGTATACAACAGGAGCTATTTTATGCGATTCATGGTGAGCCCCACAAGCCTTCGGAATTGATGGATTAATACTGACGAGAGTCTGCAGTCAACGTGGACACTGTGGATATCATTCTGAAGCAATATAATCATTACAGCAGCCAAACAATAGCATATGCGGATTTTCTCCTTAGCAAACACATTTATTCATCATGATAGCCAGATAAGATGTATATATGCAAACATAAACTCCTTCAAAGCAATTTAAGCACTTAGTCCTTGTGAGCAGCCGTAGCCTTCTCAGGATCCTCGTCGACAACTCCGCGGTGAGCAGCCACAATTTCCATATCGCGGTCATGCGCGACATCAAACTGACGGCCCAGCTTCTCCGGTCCAAAGAAGGTGATAATAATGACGTAGGCGTAGACGCATCCCATGAAGATGCAAATAACCTTGCCGTAGTCGTAGCGGTGCTTGACCTTCTCCGTCGGCGGCAGGGGGAACCGCTCCCCAATCGTCGACTCGATGGTCGAGCTGGCCGACGAAACGAGGTTACCCAGCTGGTACGCGGTACCGACAGCAAAGGTCCGGATCGAGCCCGGCGCAAGCTCCATCAGATGGATGGGGATGACGCCCCACGCGCCCTGCACGCAGAACTGCTGGAAGAAGGCAGCCGCCATGACGGATTTGTCATGGACAAAAGTATACGGGTACAGAAGGGCACCGCCGACGATGGCGATGACGATGATGGAGAACCGACGGCCCAAGATCTGACTCGCCCAGCCGCAGAGGGTACCGCCGGAGAGGGCGCCCAGATTGGCGACGACCTGGGTGACGGTGACGGCGTTGGAGGAGAAGCGGAATTGGTTGGTGAGCATGGTGGGGTAGAGGTCCTGGGAGCCGTGGGACTATTTTTGACCATGTCAGCTGGATTCGCTGTGCGCAAGGGCTGATACATACCATGAAGTTGAAGCCGGCCATGAGCAGGACGAGGTAGACCAGCAGCAGCCAGTGGCGCTTAAGCGCGACCTTGCCCTCCTCGAAGAAAGTGGAGGTGACGCCGCCGCGGACCTCAGCGCGGATGGCCTGGCGCTGTCTGAAAGCCTCCGTCTCAGGTAGACACAGACGGAAGGCGATGATGAGGACGGGAGGGCAAGCAGCGAACCAGTAGAAGGGTCTCCAGCCGTGCGGGGTGGTGTCGACGAGGGCGCGCGCAAAAGCGGTAGCAAGTAGATATCCGAAGGCGTAGCCCTGCTGCAGGAGACCGGACACGATACCGCGCGCCTCCATGGGACAATCCTCGAGGGCGGTGGCCGCTGCGTTACCGTATAATCCGCCCATGGCGATGCCGAAGAGAGCCCGGCAGGCGCTTATGCGTGTCAGTTTGACGTTCGACTGGAACAATGGCAAAAGAGACTTACAGGAACTGTTTGTATGTCTGGCAGAAAGCGGTTCCGAGTTCCAGAACAATGAAGAGGATGTTGTTCACGACGAAAGGCCACTTGCGACCCCAGCGATCGGATGCGATACCGAATGTGATGGCGCCGACGGATCGGAGCATGAGGACGAGGGTGATACCCCAGGTGATATCGGAGATGGATTTATCGAATTCCTTGGCCAGTTGGGAGGTGGTCAAGGAGACGGTGAAAAAATCGAAGGCGTCCCATGTCCAGCCGAGAAAGGCGACCTGGATAGATCAGTTAGGGTTAATCAGTGAGGATGCGATTAAGGGCTAACACACGAGAAAGAATAACCATTGTTGTTTGTTCAGCAGCGTAAGCGCCTTGAAAGGATTGGGAGCAGGGTTCATGGGAGGCTTCAAGGTCGAGAGCCGAGTGACGAGGTATCTGACGATGCTCATGCGAGGGCCGTCCTCGTCCGCGGCTGAGACGGGCGCCTCATTATGGGGAGGCTTTCCCTCATATTGTTCAGCCATGTTGAGGGGGAGGATAGCTGACCGAGATGAACAGACAGCGAAGGGATGAGAGATAGAACAAGTAGGGTGGATGAAGAAGGGAGGTTGTCGCAAAAAGCAGCAGAGAGGGAGCTGGGCCGGTTTTAAATCAGCGAACGAGCGACTCGGCTGAGAAGAAAGAAAAAGGCATGGCGAAATGACCCCTCACCCCGGTTATTATTCCGTCTGGGGAACAATAATACTA